CCTCTTTCAACACATTTATGTTTGGTTAAGAAATCGCAATTCAATTTTAAAATAAATTTTAACAAGGAGTCAATAAAATTGAAAAGAGAGGATCGAGAAAAGAAATAGGTAAGATTTTCGTGCATACATTTAAAGGTTCCAAATCCTCTACCAAAAGCACACTGTACGAAAAGGAAGGAAAAAAATACAGAAAAATGTTTTTAAAGTGTGCGGAATATTTAATATATTAATTTCCTAATTGAAATCACCGTTCACAACGCAGTAAAATATTATAACTCAATACCTAATAACTAGATAAATTTAAGTTCTAATAAGTTTAAAATTAAATGTAAGAGAGTATCTACATCAACAATTATTTTTTAAAATTTTGTTGAAAAAAGTAGGCAGAAACTTCTACAGGCTACTGTAATACTGCAACTTTTCCAGTCTCCATAGACACCAGAAAGTAGACATCTCTAAGCTCGCCTTAATAAAACAGCCGAAATATCCTAGACAAGAATTTTTCTTGCACTTTTTCTTGTAGAGAATGATTAAAGGAGAGCAGTAACTTTTCTAGTCCCCATAGACATCAGAAAGTAGGCATCTCTAAGGCTACCCTTAATAAAACAGCAAACAAGAATTTTTCTTGAACTTTTTCTTGTAGAAAGTGATTAAATGAGAGCAGTAACTTTTCCAGTCTCCATAGAAACCAGAAAGTAGGCATCTTTAAGGGTAGCATTAACAAAACAGCCGAAATACCCTAGAGAAGAATTTTTCTTGAATTTTTTCTTGTAGAGAGTGATTAAATGAGATCAGTGAATTTTACACTGTCCATAGAAACCTGAAAGTAGGCATCGCTAAGGCTAGCTTTAATACAACAGTCGCAATATCCTAGACAATAATTTTTCTTGAACTTTTTATAGTCTTTGTCTATCGAAATATCTTAGATAATAATTTTTCATAGACATGAGAAGTTAAAGCTAGCTTTAACAAAACATTTGCTTCTTTTCTATCTAATCTTGCTTTATTTCAATTAACTTTTACTTAGTTCAATATTTTGCGTAATGGTTAATTTTTGCTTATTTGTAAATAAAGTTATTATTATTATCAAAAATAAGAGACTAAAACTTCTGGCGATTTAACGTTGTTAGTTATTATCAAAGGTGTAAAAAAGAATTTGGAAAAACTGACGTTGTAATAGAATATAGAAGTTCGATAAACGCCGTGTTAGTCTTGAATTAAGAATCAATAAACACCTTCGCTCTTAACTATAAGTGAGACGCCCTGTATACGCGCGTGTCGGGAATTTATATCAAGACAAGGCAAACAACTATCCTCGCATTCTATTTAAACGATAATGCCTCTGGTTAATCAGATTTGGTACGCGTTTGCAAAAAAAATCACCAGAGGGCGCTTACACGCTCGACCGACTGGAAAATGGCCCAGCATCAGGTCTGGCGGTGACATCCGACGCTCAATTGTTTGCCTTCGTTGAGGGAGGAGAGGAGGGAACCGGCCCGCCTGTGTCTGACTGGAATTTATGATGTTTCCAGGGGAGCGACGTGATATATTTGCTGGGATGATGACACTTATTAAATCGTTTGCTCTGGTAATGCCCCGAAGTTATCTTGTTAGCGTTCGAGTGTTTGGGATCGACGCGTTCTAACCGTCGCTCTAATTGTTAATATTTAACTTTTCGAAAAGCCTTTAAATCAACAAGCGCTAGATTCGTCGAAAACCAAAATGTTTTTTACTTGGTGGGGAAAATATAAATAAACCTATATCAGAAACAATGTTTGTCTATACACTGCATGTACAGGGTGTCTAATAATTGAGTGGCAATACTAAAGGGTGTGAAGAAAGTTAAGTTTCAGAAAAAAGGTTAATATCAACAGCAACATCAAAAAGTAAGGTGACTTTGAAGTTAGATCAAAAAGCGTTTATTTATTTATCATGCCCAATACTTTGGAAAGTTTTTATGAAAATAAAAAAAAAATCTATATTCTAAAATTCCCTAGTACGTGTCGGTCGGATGTTTTTGGTGTTTTGGTGGTTTGACGTTTGTCAATTCCAACGGTCACGTGACACGTCAGTCAGTGAATAGATTCGTGTTGTGCAAGCATATACCTTCGCTCGTGCTTAATTAAACTTGTGGCTAAAACGTCAAAAGCTCCAACTTGGGAAGGAGGCAGGACTGGATAGTGGACTTCCTTGAGCAATGAATATTAGAAATACAGGAATTTTGTTGAGTGACAGTAAAAAAAAAACGTAAAAGATACGTTAACGTGCGCACAAAATTAAAAAGCAATGTTTAAAATAGTCTGTTATGCAACAACAAACGCCACTTTAGCCACATGTTTGACTGGGCGCAAACATAGCGTCAGCTTATACGAGGGCAGCGCCAAAATTACCCGGCCTGAATATGAAACAAACAAAGTAGAGTAACAATTTTTTATTATTTTTCAATATAATCCCCCTTAACTTCAATGCACTTATTACATCTCTTTATTAACGACTGAATCCCTTTAAAAAAATATTCTTTTGGCTTGTCTGCAAAATGATCTAAAACAGCCTCTTTTACACGTATGCAGTCTCGCAATTTATGTAATAATGTTGCGTAATATTTGCCATTGACAGTGGTATTAGTGTCTTTAAAATCTATCAAGATAATTCCTTCACAATTCCCAAAAGATCGTGGCCATCACCTTTTTTGTTGACTGGCAGACTCTGAATTTTTTTGGAGGTGCTTCACCCTCAATTGATTCTTTTTTCGATAGAAGGTGATAATAGAGAACCATAGTTTTATCTCCCGTCACAATAGTTTCTATCACAGGATTCGGTTTCGACCCACAGAGTTCCAAAAAAGACCGCGCATACTCGACACGGCGTTGTTTTTGAATAGCCGAAAGGTTTTTAGGAACCCATCTTGCACCAACCTTATGCATACCTAAATGATCATGCAGGATTCGAAGAACACTTGTAACAGAAAGCTTAGTAATTTCTGAGATTTCCATGACTTTTAAACGTCGATCACTCAATACCACCTCTTCCACAATCGCAACAATATCTTCCGTTATGACCTCCACTGGTAGCCCAGTTCTTGAATTATCTTCAAGGGACTCCTGCTCCATTCGAAAACGTTTTGTCCATTCTTTCACTACAGAATACGAAGGAGAACTTTGACCGTACACACCATCCAGCCTTTCTTTAAGAATTTTAGGTGCTAATCCTTCTTTTGTCAAAAACTTTATGACTGCACTATACTCAATTTGCGTTATTTGCGACATTTTTTCGGGCACGTCTTGTTTAAAATGCTGTCAATCAAAAACTATTTGACGCAAGATTTAATTTTTTTTTATTATATTTAAAAGAAGACAAAGTTACAGTGTTATTGGAGCTGCATCCATGTCAGGCCGGGAAATTTTGGCGCTTCGTATCTTTTATAATATGCTAGTACTCAAGGATTACGGGCAAAGTCATTGCAAAAAAAATGTTTCGTGTTTTAGTTTTGAATAGGTCATCGATGACTAGATGTTAAGAGCCATTATTTATGTTATTTATTTTATATTGTAAGCGTGTATCCTTCAAGGTGGAGGACACTTTCCACAATTTCAAAAAGGTTGTTATTAATTTATTAAGAGAGAATTATGAATAGTAGGTAGAATTTTTTTCTCAATACGAATCGTATATTATTTATTTTGTTGTTAGGATGTTATGTTATTTTATTAAAAGTGTAAAAGTAAAAAGAACACTCTTGTAATTTTTTTCTGAACGCCACTAGTTGGTAATTAAAAAGTAGATATTTTGTTTAAGATAAATATTTTATTTTCCACAAAAAAGGTTCTCGATTTAATCAGCCCAGTGGCGAACTAATGAACCAAAACATTATATATTCAATGACATTTTTTTTGTTTATTTTATATTGTTTATGTTTATATTGTTTATTTTTAAATGAAAACCGTGCCACAGACTAAAAAAAAATTAAGAGACTGTCTATGACGGTCTCGTAAAAAACAAAATATTTATTTAGAACAAGACATCTAGTTTTCAGGTACCAACCAGTGTCCTTCAGGAAAAAAAATATAAGACTGTTCTTTTTATTTTCACAGTTTTAATGAAATAATATAACAGTTGGTCTTGGTTGGATAACAAACAATTCATTAAGTTAAAAATATTTATTAATGTACTACCCCTAAACCCGTGACTAAAGTAGAAGCAAATTCATTGAATCAGTAAATTTTGAAGTTATTTATTAATTATTTTTGAAAAAAAAGTTCTTTATTAAAAAAAAATAATTCTGTTCCACCATATGAAATTTTATACCTCAGAACAGTATTAATAGAAAAATATACATTTTTTAGATTTAGTTGCAGAAATCGACTTTTATTACAGGGAATAGTAATCGATGTTCTTTGACTATTTGCACCAAGTAATGAAACTGAAACGCCACTCCTTATACAACCTACATTTGTTTGAAATTTTATTATAACTCGATATCAAGGAAATCACATGACAGGTCAAAGATTTTGAACGAATGCAATGATTTTTGAGAAACGAAGTCACTCGAATCGTTTTGAATAATCGAATTGATGTTCTTTTGATCGATCTCAGTTTTTTTAACCATACAATTTATACCGTCTCCAGTTTGTACACCTTCTTTTTGGTATCGAGTGAAGCAGTATAATCAAACAGTGATAATGATTAAATTTAAAATACTTTCTTAAATGAGACACCCTGTATATTATTGCCACTTTAATAGCAATTTCAATTATATAACATAGACCCATACTCATATATATCGTTGAATTTGTCTTTGAAAGGACTATCCAAAAATGCAATAAACTGTAGGGTGTTCTATTTAAAAAAATGCACCTTTGTTTTACCACCCTGTATATAAAAAAGTGACGGTTAGGAAAATTAAAAAAAAGTAAGGCAATTTTAATAAAAACAACGGTTAAATATATAAACCCGTGACTAAAGTGCCCGAAGTGTCAGTAAGTTGACGAAGCAGAATGACTTACGTGTACTGTAACGCCATGTCGTGCGTTTTCGATGAAACTCTTTCCTGTGCAAGTATTAACGATATTATTTGATCACTTTCATATACACTAAGGCAAGGTTAGGCTTGAGGTTGACGTCGGGCTTTTATATTGCGCTGATAAAATTATCGCAAAAAATCCGATACCCGCAAATTACGTTGTGTTGAACTACATATGTCTAATGGAGCGCGCTATCTTTTGTTATAGTTAATTAGAGAGTTGCGTTAATTAATTCAAGCGTTGGATTAGATTTGTTCACTTGCACTTGTAAACTACCCGTCCTTTTTTTTTAAACGGGTGACGTCAAACCAAACACAGGTCAGGATTGATCTGGATTTTTAATTCATCCTTATATCTATTTTAGCTTTTCTTCGATGGGTAAATTAAAAACGAAAATGTCTTTACTGAAAAATTTGTTTCGGCAAAACTCTTTCAAAACTAACCAAAACATATACATAGACTAGGGTGGGTAAAAAAAAACGATTAAATTTTATTAATAATTTTTACAAAAAAAAAAACAAAAATAAAAACGGTCTTTTATTTTTTCGATAAATCGAATTATTCGAGGTCAAACAATGAAGAATTTACAGAAAAATAACGTTTTGTTCTGAATTCTCATAGTCAATTTGGTGCTCTACAAAAATGGTTATTCGAAATTTAATAAATATTTTCGGTTTATTCATTGAATTAATACATTTTGAGATGATTTATTATCTGGTTCAGAGAAAAAGTTATTTGTTCAAGAAATATCAATAACTGCATTATTAGAAATAGAGTTCTGTTTCACGATATGAAATTTTATACCTTAATACAGTATTAATAGAAAAATATACATTTTTTTCTATTTAGATATACACATCGACTTTGACAACTTGAAGTTTTTACAGCTTGGACTACCTTCTTTTTTATATCGAGTGGGTCAGTAACATCAAACAGTGATCATTTATCAATAAAATTTGCTTAATGATCTATTGGTGATAAGATATGATTAATGAAATGAAACGACTAAAATTAACACCGATTTAAAGAAATAAATAAGAACTAAAAGTTCAGATTTTCACGAAGTTATATATTTACACATGACAATTGTTTCGTCAGCACCGTGTCTTTATCAAATGGAATATTTACAAACTACCTGCTACTATATATATATATATATATATATATATATCCGATTGGGTGATCCCAAAAACTAACAGTTTGTTTGTATATATATATATATATATATATATATATATATATATATATATATATATATATATATATATATATATATATATATATATATATATATATATATATATATATATATATATATATATATATATATATATATATATATATATATATATATATATATATATATATATATATATATATATATATATATATATATATATATATATATATATATATATATATATATATATATATATATATATATATATAAGGTTGTTCGGAAAGTCATTTCGTTTTTTCCCGTCAGAGGACTTAATTACGTTTTTTCGAAACCAACTTCACACTGAATCCGCATAACCATTATATGTCTTGAGAGCTGATATTGCAAGGCTTGTGTGTGAAAAAGTTCTATTAATTCTACGCAGTAGTTTATGGTTGGTGCCCTTTTAAATATGGAGAGCAATAAGCAGGTAAAAATGCTGTCCAAGCGAGAAAAAAATTGACGGATGTGTATGGAGAAGGCGTGTTAACAGTACGCCAGTGCCAGAACTGGTTTGCAAAATTTCGATCCGGCAATTTTGATGTCGAACATGCACCACGGTCTGGAAGGCCGGTCGAAGCTGACAAAGATGCGATAAAGGCATTAGTTCATGCAAATCGGCGAATAACCACACGAGAGATCGGTGAGAGATTAAATTTGTCGAATTCGACTGTTTATGGCCATTTGAAAGGCATGGGCTTAACCTCGAAGCTCGATGTGTGGGTGCCCCATGTCCTTACGGAGCGAAATTTGTGTCGTCGCGTTGACGTGTATGATTCGCTCCTCAAACGTCAAGAAAATGATCCATTTTTGAAGCGGATTATTACTGGGGACGAAAAATGGGTTGTATACAACAATGTTAAACGCAAGAGGTCATGGAGCAGAAAAGATGAACCGGCTCAAAGCGTGTCAAAAGCCAACATTCACCAAAAAAAGGTGATGCTCTCCGTTTGGTGGGATGTCAAAGGAATCGTTTTTTTTGAGCTTTTGTCTATTGTCATCAACTGGACAAATTGAATGATTCACTTAAAGAGAAGAGGCCCGAATTAATCAACAGGAAGGGTGTAGTGTTCCACCAGGATAATGCGGGACCTCACACAAGTTTGGTCACTCGCCAACAACTTTTACAGCTTGAATGGGACGTACTGCAACATCCACCATATTCTCCAGATCTGGCGGCTTCCGACTACTATTTGTTCCGGTCCCTGCAAAATTTTTTGGATGGCAAAACCTTTACCTCAAATGAAGATGTCAAAAACCACCTGAACCAGTTTTTTGCCAGCAAGGACCAAAACTTTTATGAGAGGGGAATTATGTTACTGCCAGAAAGATGGCAAAAGGTGTTGGACCAGAATGGCCAATATGTAATTTAATAAAATATTTATTCATTATACGAAAACTGTCTTTCATGTTCCCCAAAAAAAACGAAATGACTTTCCGAACAACCCAATATATATATATATATATATATATATATATATATATATATATATATATATATATATATATATATATATATATATATATATATATATTTGAATTCAAAGGATATCGGGTAGCGGTCCGTGGTTAAAATAGAAAGCTTTTTTCTTTAACACTCAATATTTCGTCAATTTATTTGTTGACTTCTTCGGGTTATTAGAACTAACAAAAATGAAATTATTTTGGATTGGTACCAGAAAGAAACTGCTTCAGGTAGATTTATTAATTATTATTCCTCTCATCCACAGAACCAAAAATATAATACAATTATAGGCATAAAAAACAGAGTTACACATTTGAGCCAGGACAGTTTTGTTCAAAATAACCTGAAAAAAATTTTCAACGTTTTTGTCAATAACGGATATCCAAAACATATACTTAAGAGATTAATCTATAACTCCAACACATTTGACGGTCCAACAGAGGAACCAGACGCTCGGATGTGTTACAGAAAGATACCTTATATTAAAAACCTCACAGAATCTATCATAAATATTTTCAAAGAATTCAAGGAAATAAAAATTGCTAAATATAATACTGAAAAAGTCTCTAAACTTTTTTCTAGAGTGAAAGATCCAACTCCGCTACTATATAACTGTAATGTCATATATCGATTGTCGTGTTTGGGTTGTCAAGGCTGTTATATTGGACAGACCTCACAGTGGTTAAAACAACGTTTAACACAGCACAAAAGTGATTGCCGTATTCATAAGAATACGTGTGCAGTGGTTGAGCATTACATAAAAACAGGACATGAATTTGACTACAGCAATCCAAAAATTTTGCAATGTGTCAATAATTATAAAGCCCGATTGTTTCTTGAAATGTGCCATATTAACAAAAACAAAGATTCAATTAATTACAAGTCTTATACACAACAAATAAGCAATATATACTGTAACATTTTTCAGTTAAACCACAGATAATGTAATGTTCGGCCACCGAGTAGCGTATTCGCGTTGCGTTGTTGATCCACGGAGTAGGTTATTTTGATGCCCTTTTTTTGTCATTATTTAGATCGATTGTTTTTTTTTTTTTTTGATGTTTTTTTTTTGTTTTTTTTTTCGCTACCCCCGTTAGCGCAACTTTTGCCTACCATTATTAAGAATTGTATACTAAGTGTTTATCCGTTTGTTTCATTATGTCGCTTCGTTCATTTACCTTAACTGTAAAGCATGGTTTTTGAGGAACTATGTGGTAGACTCTAGTTTTGTAAGTATTTCTCACGATTGTTTTAATTGTCTGTTATATAGTTTGACCTGTTGTTTTCATTAAATTTTAGTTCACTCCTGAAGAAGTCAACAAATAAATTGACGAAATATTGAGTGTTAAAGAAGTACGGTCGATATACATATATGTATATATATATATATATATATATATATATATATATATATATATATATATATATATATATATATATATATATATATATATATATATATATATATATATATATATATATATATATATATATATATATATATATATATATATATATATATATATATATATATATATATATATATATATATATATATATATATGATGACACTATATTCCGGGATATCATCCGTTCGCTCGTTGAACTCCGACTGGAATCCTGCATCCGACTGGAATCCTGCAAATCTTGCATCCGACTGGAATCCTGCAGACGTTTCGCCAAAATCTCACTTGGCATCTTCAATGCTCGCGCTCCGAAAACACTTCGAACACTGGGAGGTTATCGGCGGTGCGTGCGGTATTTATACTCTGCGCCGGAGATGGTAACGGTGCTGCTTGTGCGTGGGGGGAGGTGGCTCCGCCCCCTGAATTGTCGCGTTGTTAATTTCGCCCGAGCGTAGTTGCGATGTCCCCGTTGGCTGCTGCGCATCGCTCTGCTGTTTGATTATCGTTCTCCACGTGTTGGATAAATGCAGAGCGTCGTCTCTCGTATTGAGGTGTCCGGACTTTTCTATTTCGATGGCCTCTCGTATAATCCTAGTCCTAAAATCAGGAATATTAGCTATTTGTTTGCAAGTGCCGAAATCAATTTTATGGCCTGTCTGATGTTGGTGCTGAAACAAAGCAGATGTTGTTTGTTTGTTTCTTATGGCTAAACGATGTTCCTCGAGCCTGGCTGAAATCCTTCTGTTGGTCTGTCCCACATACGTCAGGCTGCACGATCCGCATGCTACACTGTATACTCCTTGGTTTTCCAGAGTAATTTTTTGTTTTGGGTTTCTTAGTATTGCTCCGATGGTATGGTCAGGTTTGTATGCCGTTGATATGTCGTGTTTCCGTAATATTCGGCCGATTTTGTCAGTAACCCCCTTGATGTATGGCAGGACAGCGATCGATCTTCGTTGGGTCTCGTCCTGCACTCTCTGTTGCGGCTGTTGTTGTTTACTGATTGCCTTGCTGATGGTGCGCCTTTGGTATCCGTTTTGTTGAAGACAGGTACTAATTTTCTTCAGTTCTTTATCTCTGTTCCTCTCGTTTGTGAGCCTGAAGGACCGAGCAATTAATGTATTTGCCACTGCCTGTATCTGTGATGGGTGGTGATGAGATTTAGCGTTCAGATATCTATTAGTGTGTGTTGGTTTTCTATAGACAGTGTGTTCCAAGTGTCCATCTTCGGTCCTTGTGATGTGCACATCTAAAAAGGGCAGACTGTTATCCTCTTCAAGTTCTATTGTAAATTGAATCCTTGGGTGAATGGAATTCACATGATCTAGGAATTTCAAAAGCTCCTCCTTGCCAAAAGGCCATACAACAAATACGTCATCAACGTATCTTGTCCATAGTTTTGGCTTCAGATTTGCCTTCTCTATTGCTTTCTTTTCGAAGTAAATCATGAAGAGGTTGGCAATCACAGGTGAGAGAGATGATCCCATTGCTGCTCCATCTATTTGTCGGTAAATTTTCCCGTTGTGCATAAAGTAAGCGTTTTTCAGGCAATGTCTTGACAGATCCATTATGTATGGCGGAAGATCTTCGTTTTCTTCTATAAGCAAGAGTGCCTCTTCTACTGGAATACTCGGGTAGAGGGATTTGACATCGAAACTTGCCATAATGTCGTCCTTGTCCATCCTGAGAGAACCTAAAATCTGAGTGAAATGTTCTGAGTTTTTAACATAGGAATCTGCCTTTTCCACTATAGGCTGAAGTGCACTGGCCAGATGTTTTTCCAGCTTGCATAATGGTGAGTTAAAGGCGCTTACGATTGGACGCAGGGGAACCCCGTCCTTATGGATCTTTGGGAGCCCGTAGAATTTTGGGCAACGACTCGATTTTTCCCTCGGAATAAGTTTCTTCTTTGTATCCTCGTTTATTGATGAATCGAGAATTTTGGACTTAGTTGTTTTTTCCAAATATGTCGTGGGATCTCTGGTGACTAGTTTGTATATTGGGTCGTTCAAAATATCCTCCAATTTTGCATTATAATCCGACGTATTCATGACGACAGTGGCATTTCCTTTGTCTGCTGGCATTATTAGAATGTTTTCGTTTTTGTTTAGATTCCTTAAGGCTTGCATTTCTTCTCTGCTTAAGTTTGGTTGCGGTGGTTTTGACTGTCTTAAGACTCTGGCGACATCTTGCCTAATTAACTCCGCATCTTGTTCGTCTATGGTGGAAAGACTTGCTTCGACGTTGGAAACGATCTCTTCGACGGGTACTCTTTTTGGAGCTATTGCGTAGTTAAATCCTTTATTCAGTACGCTAACTTCTGTATCGGAAAGATGGTATGCTGAAATATTATGAACTGTACTGCTTCGGTTTGTATTTGGCACTTGTCCTGATTTTTTGGAATTTGACTGAAGGATTTCTAATTTCTTCCACAGTTTTTTTGACGTGATGTCCTTGGCTTTCTCAGTGCGCCATGATGTTAATAATTCTATGCGGTCCCACAGCAACTGATGGATCTTGTTGCTCAGTTTCAGGTGGAGTCTGAAAAGTTGTAGCTCAGTCTCACTAATTTCGTACCGGGTCCGCCTGATCTGGTCTTGGAGTAGGGCCTTGCTAGCTTTGTCCAGGATAGCTTGTGTCTTTCTGGTGCGTGTGTGATAAGACAACCTTGTAAATGTTGGCAGCAAGTTCTGGTTGCGGCAGCTTTTAAGAAAATTCAAGTTGCACAGCGAAATAACCCTCCTTTGTCTTAGTTTTTCATAACACTTGGTGGCTGTAAAGGTCTCCTTCCCGTAAAGGTGTATGATATTCTCACGTATTGATTCACGGATGGAAAAATGTGATGACACTATATTCCGGGATATCATCCGTTCGCTCGTTGAACTCCGACTGGAATCCTGCATCCGACTGGAATCCTGCAAATCTTGCATCCGACTGGAATCCTGCAGACGTTTCGCCAAAATCTCACTTGGCATCTTCAATGCTCGCGCTCCGAAAACACTTCGAACACTGTGTTATATATATATATATATATATATATATATATATATATATATATATATATATATATATATATATATATATATATATATATATATATATATAAACTGTTAGTTCTTGGGATCACCTCAACTTTGATGGATCGCCGTAAAGGAAGCAATAAAAGATGTTGAAGCTCAAAGCAAAGTGGCAATTTATTGTAATATCTAGCTTTCGCCCATGGATACAGGCTTCATCAGGACACTGAGTCATATAGAGAACAAAAAACACTTCATCAGAGTTAACAATCTAACAAAAAAAAAAGTAAAAAAACTTACACAACACGCCTCTTTCTACCTCTACATATAGAGAGATGACATTGGTGTATAAAATAAAGTGTTTGGCCAGTTACAATTATCGACATAACACTCGATGGATGAAATGTATGGAAAAAAATTTTTACAATTGTTAAAAATATTAACCTCGACCATAACGTTACAAAACAATCACACTAACACAAAACGTTAAGGTCAATAAAATATCCGGAATGATAAAATATTTAAAGATGAAAAAAAAACAACCAATTTGTTACAAACGACACTTCGTATTGTCGATTTAGAGTAATCTTAAAAAAGGCGTTTTTTTACAATATCTTCCCTTTCATTTCCAAATAATAACATCTGCGTTTTGTTAGTATTCAATAAGATGTTGTGAGCCGCAGATACCTCCGCAATTATTTTTACAAAATTTAAGAAAATTATAGAAGTGAGCTGAATGAACTGAGAACAAAATGGGTCCCAGACTACTCCCCTGGGGAACACCCTTCCCCAAAGCAATGGCATCTGCATGAGTATTTCCTATAACTACCCTTTGGTATCTCTGACCAAGAACATTTTTATATTTTTATCCTGAAGAATTCCAGTTTAGCTAGGAGAAGGAAATGATTCAAGGTATCGAACGCTTCGCTATAGCCCAAGAGTATGAGACAAGAGTTTAACTTAGAATCCGCTGCTCTCAATAAACCATCAGTAACATGAAGCAAGGCAGAAGTAGTGCTGTGAAGAGGTCGAAAACCAGATTGAGTGTCTGGGAGGATTTTGTTATCGCATCGGAACTGACGAAGTTGTTTAGCTGCGATTTTTTTAATAATCTTTGAGATGGTTGGCAGCAAACTGATTGGTCTAAAATCGTTAATGCTACTTGGACACTCTTTCTTTGGGACGGGTATAACTTCAGCCTGTTTCCATGAGTCCGGAAAAATCCCGGTCAGCAGACAGTTGGTAACAAGGATAGTGATATGATCGACTAAATGTGGGGTAGTCAAAATAATCATTTTTACATCAATATTGTCTGAGCAATGAGCGTTAGTTTTAATACTAATTAAAGTTTTATTAACTTCCTCGGGGTAAACTTTAGTAAAACGGAATGAATTAGAACCAAATTGTATATTAATATATTATATAAAACACAAACCCAGGATCAATACCACCAATAGATCCAAAAGAAGTAAAAGCAACATTAAAACTATTAGGTTGGTCAAAATTGTTTTCAATCATTAAAGAGTGCACACGAAGTCTTAAAGGTACGCCAAAAATTTTTAGTTTCAGCTTTAAATGTACTTGCCAAATATGCCCTTTTCACGGCTCTCACACAGGGGTTCACAAAATTTCGTAATTCTCTACATTCGTTTAAGTTTTAAGTTTTTAAGTTTTATTAAAAGTTTTAGGTTTTCGGTAAGCCAAGGGGCTGCGGGTCTCCTAATTCCAACTGTTTTTAATGGAGCATGAATATCAAATAAATAATTCATATTATTCGTAAGAAAGTCAACTTGTACGTTTATATCATCAAAAGAGTATAAAAGATCCCAGTTAATTGCTCTAAGATTATTCATAAACAATTCATTATCGGATGCCGAAAAATCTCTAAACGTTCGAAAAATGGTTGGATGACGGTCTTGAGATTACAAGAAACGATACAGTGATCTGAGATATCACTCATTTCATGAACTTCAATATTGTCACATAAATTAGAGGTGACCAGTACATCAAGAAGCGAACTAGAAAAAAACTAAGAGCTCATACTTGATAACTATTTTTCAGAGGTAACTAGCAACCTGTGTTTGTGCATCACAACCAAAAAAAAAACTTTTTATATAATTATAATATAATATTATATAAAATAATAATTATCATATTGTGTGTTCTTACTTCGTGTCGCTATAGAGAATATTCATATTTCGTCCGACCGGTATAACACATAATTTCCACAAAATCGTTTTACGAGTAAATGGAATAATACGGCCATAACCTTTCCTAAATGAAGTCCAATTGCGCACAGAAAGGAAACAATTCGTTAGTACCACCATTTGAAAATGTAGAGTAGCTCTCAGTGTCGCGAATATGTATGAATGTGAATGTTGGTGATGTTTTTGCAACTTTTGTTTGTGTAGAAATTCGCGGTAAGCAAAGCAATACAATTAATTTGGACAATAACAATCGGTACCATAACATGGCTCTCCAATGATCCGATGGATTCCATTTTTCCTAAGATATGGTTTATATTCAACTCTGTAACATTCAAAAAGTGGCCACTATGACAGTACCTACGATTTTCTTCTTTGACGAAAATTAAAATGCTCATACGAGGTTGTGTTGAACAGTTTCCGGCCTGACCAAGAAGTCACTCGGTCTACTTATGGGGCGGGGTCCTGCAGTACCAATCCTTGTATGTACTGGGTTATTCGTTATATTTTGACACCCGCCTGCAGAGTTAATTTTTTAAGATAAAAGGTGCAAATAGAAAAGTTTGAAGAAAAAGCAAACGACTATCGCAAGCTCTTAAAATAACACCAACATTCTCTTGTTTAAATTTTAGTTAAAATCATCCTGATTTCGAAAACATATAGGTTATTGACATTTCGTTTAGCCGTTTGTGTGATATTAGAGTTTAAAAATAATCATCATTTGATTACTCTAAAGCCTTTGATCGGCTTGACCATGAACTTATATGAGCCAAGTTGAGTCACTACGGCTTCTACTTTTTTTAGCTTTTTTACCTAGCTCACAGATATTAGAGAGTTAAAGTCTGTTCATAGGTATAAGAAAGTGACTAACTGATACGAATTAAGGAAAGACCCGGGCAAGCTGTAAGAATGAAATATCGCCGAACAGGTCCGTACTTTGCTTATAATTTAATTATTTGGGGTTTTGTTAGGAAATATACTAAACAATAATTATTTATTTATGTTTATGTTTATTTATGTTTAAATTTAAAACAAAATTACAAATTATTTTTATTACCTACTTAAATTACTTAAAATTATTCACATAATATATCAGTATCACTATGGCTATCATCGCCTGTTCTAATTATTATTTGTTCTATATTATTTGCAATATCGATATACGATTGTTCTGCTTTTTCTATATGTTTAACAGAATTTGCCCAACTTTGTCGAGGGATGTTAAAAACTTCAGTTTCTATAAGTTTGAGGACATTGGAGTTAACACGGGAAAAACATTGTTACGACGAATGGCAGATTTCAGTTGGTGCCAAACATGTTCAATAGGAAGCCTTAAAACTGTATGCCCTAAATTTTTTGCATAATTATCACAGACGTATTCCTTTTGTAGGTTCAAGCTTTGTAGAACCTCAACTAATTGCTTTTTGGTATAAATGTCGTTATTATACATGTAGTTTTGGATTTTTGCTTTTGTGTTACATGAGGAAGGGGTTTTAGTCAACTGTCTACTGTGATAACTTGCATTGTCCATTAGAATGACGCTATTAGGAGGAATGTTTGGAACTAGTTTGTTTTTAAACCAACTTTCAAATAAATCAGCGGTGGTGTCCAGAGAAGAATCTTTAATATTTTTCGCAGACTGAGAAAGTCCATTTGGAATCTGTAAATCCTAATTTTTTTCAGATTTTTCAGTCGCCATTTCCGAATTCTAAAAGATTCCATTGAAACTGGCCTTGTGACAGTTTTTTTAAATCTAAAACCCATGTGTTGAATACACTTCCATAAGGTAGTTCTGTCACATTTAACACCAGTTTCATCTTTTTCAAGTCTCCTAATTAAGATATCTAATGTAGGCACGCTTTGTTCCTCGTAAATTTTACGCCGTATTATATCTTGGTCACTTTCTTCTTCTTCTTTCTTGCTTCTTTGTTTCTTCGCTGAAATGGGATTATTAACAATTTTTCATACAATTGGTGTTGGAATTTTCGTCAATGTGACCGTTTCTTCTAAAGATGATTGCTTGCTGGCACCACGCTCAATGAGAGTCGTTGGTGAAAAAGTCTGATTTGGTTTTGCGCCATTTATACAGGCATAGAACTGTCCTTATTTCAGTTTACGGAAACTTTTAGCTCAATCACTTGTCATTTCGATTATGAACTATGGTTTAGTCCTCTATTATACATGTCTTGATAGTATTAGTAAATATAGATTGCAACAACTTCAAAACAGAGTCGAGTAATTGATTTACTTCAACAAATTTATATAGTCTCTCTTTTAACAGGATTTCAAAAATTTTAGAGAAAACAAGAATGACGGAGATAGGACGATAACTATCGACCATCTGAGGGTCTCCGTTTTTAAATATTGGCGTTACTTTAGAGATTTTCTATACCTGACGTTGGCGTTACTTTAGAGATTTTCTATACCTGACGTTAAAAAATGCCGCATCTGTCAGCGGCCATGTTGTTTGTTGAAAGTCGCAAGGCCTTATGGCTCCTACATCAAAATTTACTTCTCAAAACAATTTTATGTAGTTGCTTCAAGAGTTCTTGTACTGTCAGCATAGGCAAGGCCTCTATACGTCTAGTGGCTATACGGTAAAACCACGTCGGCCGTTTTAACTCGCCTACGTGAATGCGAAAACTATTTTCGTATTCACCATCGAAATACGACGTAATTTCGCATTTCCTTGGGCAGTTTTCGACAGCGCGAGTCTCTCTCTGGAACGGGACTAAAAAATCACAATGCCGCCCACGCCGTCGTTCCCGCCCCTCATCCGGAGGCTCCGCCCCGCGCTCGGTGACGTCACGGGAACGCGCAGGCGGCTCTGATTTGGGTCATCGAGTGTGACCTTTCTGCGAGGCCTTCTACGACCGGGACGAAATCCATTCGCAGTCGTAGCGCATCCAGACTTCTTCGCCATGGCCTCCAACACTTCCAACTACAAACTGAGCCCCGCTACGGCCAGTCTAAAGTACAATGGTAAGTGTCGAATTGCTTAATTATAGCCTGTTAGTCATAGATATTTCGCTTGAACGAACTTTAGACGTAGAAGGATGAATGATAAGCGCGATTTGCAGATTTTTTTAAATAAATCTTTGTACGTCTTCACGATCCTGCTAAAAAATATAGAATTTTTTGGAATGAAGTACATCTTGTTAATTTCGATGACGTAACCGGTAATACGTCACAAGCGGGCCCGCGATAAGGCGGCCATGTTGAATTTGACGACGGCGCCATATTGAAACCGAACCGTTGGGCGTTCAGGCGGAATTAACGTTTCGGCTGTTTTATCTATGGTCCCTAATATGAGAAAATACAAGTTCACTAGGTTGGTGAATTGGTGATTGCCCTAGGGTCCCGAAAAACGTGGGGGCCCCGCAACGTACAAAAAAAGCATTAAAATGAAAATTTTACATAACTCTTTCATTTTTTTTGGTGCTTCTCTTGGAACTATATGCGAAACAGTTCAAAAGGTTAACATTGATTTGCACCAAGCAGTTAAGGGATAAATTTGATTGTTATTATGAAAGCAGTAAAAATGTGTAAGAGTTTACTAAATTTCAACAAGATCTAAGTTTGATGATGGTACTTGTGACATAAAATTTTCATTTAAATAATTTCAAGCTATTTCGTTATTATATATAGAATCAATAACAAAATGCAAAAAAGTGTATAAAAGTACAGTTTTATTTCAACAAACAAACAATTTTAACCCAACTCACTGAACTTAACATAACGACAATTTACAACAGAAAGTATGCACTTTGATTTAGGAGAGGAATGCCTGAATTTTATTGTTATTGTTATTATTGCTAATAATTGATTATTGGTTAGTCATACACCAATCAAGCATGCCGAAAACGTCACTTTACCACTTCGGTATATTATCTCACGGGTTCGGGAGCAATCGGATGTTTTCGGAGAATTTACCGAACGGCTTACGTTTTGACATTTGTCAATTCAACTTGTTTGTCGACCTTTATACCGTTTACCACACTTGTTGCGTAATATACTATTACACAATTCTTGTGCGTAACGGTTAAAGAGAAAGATCATTTTCCCTCCATCCAAACTTATATGAGAAACTCTTCAGGTAACGATAACTTAAATTATTTACATTAAATTTCAAATCAAGAAAATAACATTCTTGATTGATTAGTATTGACATTTGATGTACTTTGATATTGAGTGAAACATTTATAAACATACTTTTCAGTACAATTTATTAAATATATATACATTAAATTTCTTTTAAATAAGATATCCTGGAATATTTTTGTTAATTTTTTTTTAACAAATAAAATAGACAAAACCTTTCGTGGGCACCCCGATTTTTGAGTATCTTAGGCCCCCCAGTTATGTAAATCTGGAGCTATATTATGTACACGAGGAACGCCATTGTTTATTTTGAATTTTTCACTGAAAATAATATATCTGAAGAGTTAGTTGGGGATAAGTATGTTACTTAATAATTCTTCGATACAGGAAAATCATTATCTATTATCATTAAAAAATCCAAACGGGCATCTTGTAATCTTTTTTCAAATTTTTGAAATGCACCGATTACATTTTAACCAATAACAGATTGTTATATATTTTGGTTAGTTTTTTCTTTCTATCTCTTAAACACGGATCACTAATCGCATCTAATCATCGGGAGACTTGTAACAGTTCACAGTTTAAAATAATAATATAAGATTAATAATAATAATAATAACAATAACAACAACATCAACAATAATAATAATAACAATAATAATAATCTTGATGCTTTAGAGAGTTTGTGGTTCTTGATTGGTAGCCTTTTTTAAAATCTAATATTCCTTTGAAGTAGGTCCTAGCGTTGTTGTTGCGTCTGTTTTCCTCAATTTCCTTCACCTTTTGTATTTGGAGTTCTTTTTTCTTCTTCTTCATAAGCCTTCTTGCTATTGATCTCGTTCGCTTATATTCGTTTATGGTTTCTTCTGTGGTATTTTGCAGCATTATTTGTCTGGACATTTTCCTGTTCTCGATCGCCCTCTTACACTCTTCGTCAAACCATTGTTTCCTTTTCTGTTTGGGCCGCAGGCCTAAGACGTTCTCGTTTGCATTATTCACCGTTTCTTTCAGTTTATTCCAAAATATGTTAGTGTCCTCCTCAATAGCCATTTGATTAATTTGGTTGGTTATCGTCTCTGTGTATCTTGTTCTTGTCTCTTCTTCTTTTAATATTTCTACGTTCCACGTTTTTGTTGGGTTACCCTTTGTGCTCTTGCTACTAGATATTCTAGCTCTAATCTTAGAACTCACCAGTATATGGTCTGTATCTGCATCCGCCCCACGAAGACTTTTAACATCTAAGCAATTACTACTGTGTCTGGAGTCTATTAGTACATGGTCTATTTGGTTTCGTGTTCTACCATCATTAGATATCCATGTCTGTTTGTGTATGTTTTTATGTTCAAAGTAGGTTGACTTGATAAGGAGGTTATATGTTGTGGCGAAGTCTATTAGCCTTAGTCCGTTGTCGTTGCTTTCATCATGGAGGCTATGGCATCCAATGGTCGGCTTAAATGCATTTTCCTTACCGATTTTAGCGTTAAGGTCTCCTAGGATCATCAGCATGTCATGTCTTGGTACTTTATCCACAATATTTGCCAGCTGTTCATAAAACGTATCTTTTGTCTCTTCATCCTTCTCTTCTGTCGGAGCATGCACCGATATCAAGGTGTAATTATACCAGCGGCCTTTTAGCCTGATCCAACAGAGTCGCTCATTGATTGGGCAAAAATCTATAATGGACTGCACCAATTGTTCCTTTACAACGAATCCCGTTCCATATTCATGTCTATCCTGTTCATTGCCACTGTAGAAAACCACTGATTTGCTGATTTTAACGTTTCCGTTTCCAGTCCATCTAACCTCCTGAACCGCTGTAATATCTAGTCCCCGTGATTCTAGTGTCTTGATAGCATGGGTTGATGCCCCAGGGCGGTGCCAGCTGAGGATATTCCATGTTCCTATATTCATATCCTGTTTTCTTAGCCATTGTCGTTTCCTTTTATCCAATCTATTCCGAGGCTTATCGTCCGTTTTCGTAGCAAGGTCTTTTTCCGAGGTGAGGTTGCTAGCCTCACGCTCAACCCTCCTCCTTTATCCGGGCTTGGGACCGGCAGTGACAATTGTGAGCTACTCAGTCCACCCACAACTGCCCCAGGCGGAGTTATATAAAAATATATGCTGAGATATATATATATATATATATATATATATATATATATATATATATATATATATATATATATATATATATATATATATATATATATATATATATATATATATATATATATATATATATATATATATATATATATATATATATATATATATATATATATATATATATATATATATATATATATATATATATATATATATATATATATATATATATATATATATATATATATATATATATATATATATGACACTATATTCCGGGATATCATCCGTTCGCTCGTTGAACTCCGACTGGAATCCTGCATCCGACTGGAATCCTGCAAATCCTGCATCCGACTGGAATCCTGCAAATCCTGCATCCGACTGGAATCCTGCAGACGTTTCGCCAAAATCTCACTTGGCATCTTCAATGCTCGCGCTCCGAAAACACTTCGAACACTGGGAGGTTATCGGCGGTGCGTCCGGTATTTATACTCTGCGCCGGAGATGGTAACGGTGCTGCTTGTGCGTGGGGGGAGGTGGCTCCGCCCCCTGAATTGTCGCGTTACCATCTCCGGCGCAGAGTATAAATACCGCACGCACCGCCGATAACCTGCCAGTGTTCGAAGTGTTTTCGGAGCGCGAGCATTGAAGATGCCAAGTGAGATTTTGGCGAAACGTCTGCAGGATTCCAGTCGGATGCAGGATTTGCAGGATTCCAGTCGGATATATATATATATATATATATATATATATATATATATATATATATATATATATATATATATATATATATATATATATATATATATATATATATATATATATATATATATATATATATATATATATATATATATATATATATATATATATATATATATATATATATATATATATATATATATATATATATATATATATATATATATATATATATATATATATATATATATATATATATATATATATATATATATATAATTGGGTGCAATCAAATTTTACCAAGTAAAAAATTGATTTTTTTTTTGGTTATTTTGGCTTCCAGAAAAAATATATATATAAAATCGTAAAAAATATGGCTAAACGGTTCACACAGTGTCATAGGCCGCATCAAGAGCTACAATTTTTGTATTTGCGGTTTTCGTCTAGCGCAAACGCTGTTCGAAATATTTGCAAAAAATCAAAATGAAAATCACCATTGCTCGCCCTCAATGTAGACGCGATGACGTCATTTACTATTACGTGACTTCGGAAGGCAAGTATTTTCTCAAAAAATATTTACTCTATTGAAAAAATTTATATACCAGGAGACGTGGGACATCCAGGAATATCACCCATATTTTGTACATTTTTTGAATTATATACAGGGTGTGTCTTTTATGGGCAAAAAATCCATTTAATGTTTCGTGTATCATACAGGGCGCGCGAGATATTTGAAAAATTATCATCCGAATTCGAAAATTATTTGTACAAAGTTCCGCGGGACGTGAAAGACATAATTTTATATTTTGTACCACCGAAGCGCCATCTGGCGATTTTCATTAAAAATATGCAGATACTTCAATCGGAAACTTAATTTCAATAGCGCGAGCGTTAATGTGAAAAGTCGGGGAGACAATGGATTAAGTCAAGCGGCATTTAAAGCGGCAAAAGGTGGATTTCGCTGTCGGATAACGGCGTTGGGTAACTCCGGGTGAATTAAAAAGGCCTTTGTTTGTTTTTTAAAATTGGACTGACGGATTCGAATCGTCTTTCGGAGTTACGATTGCTTTCGG